TAGAAAATCCAAGATGACGACGGATTCAATATGGCGAAAGACATTAGTTTATATAATTACTACTCTATCACAAATAGAAAATATGTAGGATGCAAGAGTGAAAATAACGTGCCTATAAGTTATACTGCGTATACCTACTTGTTTGTTACTTTCATCAATAAATTATTCGAAAAATGACTTTGTATTTAAGGAAGACGGAAGAATCATATGTATAACATGGGAGTGAGGTATATTCTATTCTTTATTTCCTGCACATTTTACGTATTACTTTTTATCAGCCTACTTTTCGTCCTAGACGAAGTTTTATACATAGTTTATATTAGTCACTCCATAAATTCTTCGAGTTGGATTTCCGAAAATATATTTAGCACACATTACATGAGTACAGTAGTTTAGATATTAACATCGAGGTTTTCACCATTTCTCAATCATAAGGGTCAGCTCATTCAGCTCATAGATAAACTACTGCTCAGTTTGAAATCAGAATTCAGTCAGTCAATTCAGTCAACCCTTGTATACAGTCTGAGAACAGTCTCTTTTGGTGAAAGATATTGAGCTTTCAGTAAAATTCATATGTTCCCTTAGCTACCTCTCAAAAATTATGCTGGAGTATAGTAAACTCTAAAACTAGAGGATTGTTCATCTATATTTTGGTATAGTTGAATCAGGAATTCTATATGGAAATAACGTATGATACGCCAGTGACCTCAATATAACCTAAAAAACAACAAATGCCAAAAATCTAGTGTTTATCCCCAGAAATGAATAAAGATGGAACTATATAACTGTTTCACAAACACTTTAGAGTGAGAGGAGACGAGGATCTGTCCGTACCCTGTTAAGATGACAAATACGTCAGTTTACATCAAGGGACCCTAATCATAGCTGCATTCTTTTTCGATGATCTGGAGACTTTAGTTTTGTCTACTGGCATCCCTGACATTGCTGTCACGTCACATCCATGGGCGCTACAGAAAATCATTCTAAATTTTGATAATTGGTATGAACAGGGTATTTACTTGTTGAGGAAGATCATATTGCGAACGAGTTTTGTAATTATGATCCGATTATATTCAAAATTGGAAGATATCTGAGGTTTTCCGAGGTTGGAGATAATGATTGTTGCGTCAAACTAGTAAAATTCAAGGTGACGGATCCAATATATAGGGAAAGAAATTTCTAATTATTATCTGATTCTATTTAAGATTGATATCTGAGGGTTTTCGGGGTCGAACTTCATGCTTTTTTGTCAAAATTGGGAGATTCAAGATAGCGGATCCAATATGGCGAACGAAATTTGCAACTATGATCCGATTCTATTAAAAAATCAAAATTGGTATCTGGGGATTTCCGGGGTCGGAGATTATGATTATTTCGTCAAAATTGGGATAGTCAAGATGGCGGATCCGATATGGTGGACGAGTTTTGTAAATAAGATCCGATTCTATTCAAAATTGGTATCTGGGGGTTTTCGGGGTTGGAGATAATGATTGTTTCGTAAACATTGGAATATTTATGAAGACGGATCCAATATGGTGAAAGACATTAGTTCATATAATCATTACTCTACCACAAATGGAAAATATGTCGGATGCAAGAGTAAAAATAACGTGCCTATAAGTTATACTGCGTATACCGACTTCTTTGTTACTATCATCAATGAATTATTCGAAAATGACTTTTTATTCAAGTGAGACGAAAAAATCTGGTGAATTATATTCTTTTCTTTATTTTCCTACATATTTCACTTATTACTTTTTATCAGCCTACTTTTCGTCCTAGACGAAGTTTTATACATAGTGTGATATTAGTAAATCTATGCCCAGATAGCACGGGACGTCCCGAAGACGTCCATTTCAGGTCCATTTTTGGTCTGAACGTCCAGGACCTTTAATGGACGTTTTTAAGACGTCCATTATTGGACATACTCCGGACGTCCAGAAGAAGACGTCTTTAAAACGTCCAATTCACAGACTCTCACGGTATATGAGTTTAAATTAATATAAGTAGGTAGGTATTTATCAATTTCAAAATTGGAATTATTGATTTGAATATGGACATGAATGATATAGAATGAAGAAATATATTATATGTCAGCTGAATCAATATAATATATTTCATTTTATTATTAATATTATGAATTTGAAATATTGATGATTTTAACTGATTTGTACCTACTTATATAGTTATGATTATATTACTTCAATCACATAATACATATACAGTTTGACCATTCTTAAACCCACACTGAAGTATTCATACAAGCCGCGCTTTTATAATAAGATTTGATTGAATCACTGAATATGTAAAGCAACCGTAGAACGCATGCGTGCTCAGCGTTGCCAGACTTACTATTTTAGCAATAGATCTACTGTTTTTGTCTCCGTTCCACTGTTCAACTATTCAAGGCAATGGTCTGATTGGTCATGTTTTGATATGACATAACTACCAAATATGCAACAATGAAAAATTAATGGGACATCACAGTAAGAAGATCTAGGATAAAAATATACTGCAACTATCATATTCAGTCTGATTAGTAAAAATTAGCTCCTATTTTCAATCTGGTTGCGATTTTTACAAATTTCATATTTTATTTCATTATTTTCTGTTATTCTTCGTTCGATTTTTATTAGGTATAATAGAGACCAAACATGATTTTTGTTTTTCGTTCATTATATAGGTGACTATGTTTTTTCATTTATAATAGCAAATTATGATGATAATCAAAATCTTCTGTTCAGTTTTGATGATCTACTGTTTTTTCCTCACCCATCTACTGCTCCGACAAATTTTCATCCGGCAACACTGTGCGTGTTACGTGAAACGAAATGGGAAGATGGCGTTCGTCAGTTGACCACTGCCGAGTGCCGATTAAACTGTGATTCAGGTCCAAGGCACCTGAACTTTTCGGGTTATTTGACTGTAAAAGCAGTGAATAAGTGAAATCTTTGCGGATATCATCTTTCAACTGGTGAACTTCGAACTCGACTTCTATTGAGATGTTTTGTGCTAACAGCAGCATGAAGGCAAGTATGGCTATCGACGCTATCGTTTTATTTTCATTCGCTTGAAGGTGCTTGAGTAAGAACATCGAATCTGGAGTTGAAAACATTAGATACCTTTCTATATAATTTGATTTCATGCAAAGCTCTACCTAATCCTATTTCCATCATATACAAAAGTTTATATTTTTGTATATAGTTAAAACATAATGTATTTCGTGCAAGGTTCAAAGAGGTTATACATAGGTACCTACCTAAGAATCAGTTTATGTTTGCAATAAGTTCTCAATGGAATAAAAATAATGAAGTATTAAGCTATACTGACTACTACACGTTGAAAGTGGGTGTGTGTTTATGGTTCATGGTATTCACAAAAGATGTTATTGAATATTATTATTATTTACAGATCCAGTGAAGAAGACAACAGCAGAAGGCTGCCAATCAGAAAAAGACATCATCGCGCCTGCGTAACTGGATGAATCACGCGACGTTTTTAGTGGTGCAGCTGCTGATATACGATATGGAAGAGTGAAATTGAAACATAACTACCTAAATCTCTGTTCATATTATTGTTTGCGAATAAATGTTTACTAATATTCAAGTATTTCACTCTTCAGATGGGTCAGAAAATGAATAATCAATATTATCTGAATGTCCTCAATACGTCCATTTTTCATACCAAAAAGGTCCTAGTCTGGACCTAAATTGGACGTCCCCAAAACATCCTGATTATTAACAATGGACGTCCCCAAAACGTCCATAAGACGTCCGTCGTCCGGAAATGGACGTCCTCAAAACGTCCTGAATGTCCAGAGTGGACGTTTTTAAAACGTCCATAAGACGTATTTGTGCTGATTGGGTGGTTTCTTCTCCGAATTGGATTTCCAGAAATATATTTAGCACACATGACATGAGCACAGTAGTTTAGATACTGATAGCGAGGTTGCCACCATTTCACAATCATAAGGCTCAGCTCATTCAGCTTATAGATAAACTACTGCTCAGCTTGAAATCAGAATTCATTCAGTCAATTCAGTCAACCCTGGTTACAGTCTAAGAACAGTCTCTTTTGGGGAAATAATATATTGAGCTTTCAGTACAGTTTATATGTTCACTACCTGAAAAAGATTATGCTGGAGTAGTAAACTCTAAAACTAGGGGATTGTTCATCAATATAGTTGAATCAGGAATTCCATATGAAAATTACGTATGATACGCCAGTGTCCTCAATATAAGCTAAAAATCAACGAATGTCGAAAATCTAGTGTTTATCCCCAGAATTGACTAAGGATGGAACTATATACCTGTTTCACAAACGCTTTAGACTGAGGGGAGAAGAGGATCTGTCCGTACCCTGTTAAGATGACTTTAACGTCAATTTCCATCAAGGGACCCTAGCCAAGGCTAGATGAACTATAATTTATAACTCGTTCTAGACATAAAAATTCTTTGCATTTCCGAGGATTCGAATCCAGCAACTTTCTGATATTCTGATCACTAGTCGAGTACCTCAACCACTGCGCTATTCCGCAGTCCTGTCAGATTTCTCAATTAGAACTGGAATATGATCAAACTCTATTTAGCACGGTGCCAGCTCAATTATAGTTAAACGATATCAATATGCCATAAAATGAATAGACGATTGTATGACGTGGGTAACATAATAAGAATTGACACTATTGGCCCAGTGCCGGCTGAATTAAAGGCAAACGATAACAATATGCCATACAATGGGCCGACGTTCGACCAGCTTGGGGCCAGCAATCTGCCGATCTCTCATGAACTGGGCCAGAACGACCTGAGATTTAATGTTTGCTGGAAACCTTCAAAACAAATCAATTTGATCGCTCCAAGAGCCGCTTCAGGATTCTTTAAGGAATTGAATATGAACTCAAGGTTACTAGACTACCGCAAGTTTGAAAATTTTTGGCCAAACTACCCATAACCACGAAAATTAGAGATTTTTCCATAATTCATTGATCAATTTTTTTCAAGGTACTGGAATTTTCATCGATACAGTCATCAACTACTTTGACGAAATGAAGAACTCCACGAGTACTCCGAAATACCAAATGTACAGCGCACATGACACTAACATTGCCCAAATCCTCTCAGCTTTGGGCGCGTTCGAACCGCATGTGCCATATTTCGCCAGCACCATCTATTTCGAGTTACGACGTCTACTCGGGGTATACTTCATCAATGTCTACTACAAAAACGGAGACACAATCGAGAAGATAATAGTAAAAGGGTGCTTGATCTTTGATTGCCCGCTGTACAAATTCAAGAGTTTGATGGAGGATATTCGCCTAGACACTGAAACTCGGGAAAAGGAATGTTCCGAGACTAGCAATCGTGAAATAAGCACATCTGTCCAGAATCTGTTCATCCACCAGGACTCCAATGGTCCTGGACACAAAGTGGGAACATAGAAATTTAATGTGATGTATAATCAGATTTGAATATATCTCAGCTCATATCGCACCTTCTTTTTCATTCAAATGTATATTTGTTGAGATTCACCATCCTTTTCAATTCCCTGATCAGTTTTCAAGTTGAAACCCAATATGTCAAAAACTGGAACCTTTGGCACGATAATTAACTACACACTGTTTCACCACTAACTGAATCGATTTTTTACTCCTCGACACGTGTTTCGTTGACTCTGTAAGCATCTTCAGGAGAAGATTAAAACTGTTTCAATCTTTTCCTGAAGATGCTAACATAGTTAGCGAAACACGTGGCGAGGTGTAAAAAATCGGTTTGGTTAGTGGTGAAACAGTGTGTATAGTGTTAAAACCCGATATTAACAACATTTTGAGAAAAACTGTATAATGTCAAAGCATTCTTTTCTTGCCTGGAAATCTACGGTGGATGCATTCGGAATAACATTACTCAAGCTCTATCCAACTATAATAGAACGATTTTTTTCGGGCCCACGACCTACTATAATGATATTCTCCTGAATACAGTGGCTAAACTGATCAAAGTGGAATTGAATGTGATGATACTAAATGTACGTATTATTGATCCAGTTGTCATGTTCTGGACGGAAGAAGTGCTCAGTTCGCCTAAGCGGACAATGATGTATTCAATTCAATGTACTATTCATGAAATGAAACAGAGTTGAAATAAAGTATGGAACCGAGTAAATATCTTCAAACCGACTTCGTAGACGGGTACAATCACGCAAAACGCATCAGAGCTCGATTGCTCGAGTTCTATGATAACTAGAAACTCGATTCGAAAACGAATGTGGATGAGACAACAAGGTCCATAACTAGAAATTATTGCCGCATATACAAGAGCAGCGGAAAAAATGTAGAGGGTCAGCATCACTTTTTTTAATGGATCGCCCTGTATATCAGCACATTTTTTAAAGCATTTTTATAATATTGTTGATTACATCTCGATCATTTCAGTCCTTGCAATATTAACCCGTCGAGTTGAAGCTTCGCACCCCTTCGTGGCCACTTTGGAGACCTGCAGAACATCTCTTTCCGATGACTCGTTCATCCAACAAACAGCGAGGCTCTGGAACACATTGCCAAGGGAGGTGTTCCTCGAGGCATTTAACCTCCAGAAACTCAAGAAGAACGCTAATTCCAACCTTATTTCCCTTGGTTGTTCTCTGAACATTACAGGATATCCCTTTTCGTGGGAACCAGAATATAAAAAAAATAATGTCATCTGCAGATGCATACTGAGATAATCAGTGTAGTCACAATTATGGAATTCGAGAGGGAATAATCATTTGATGGAATAGAATTTTCATGTCCTAAAATTATACAGGGCGGCTAAAAATGGTTTTTCAATTCAGAACTTTTGGAAGTGATTTTTCTCGAGTTTTCCAAATGAAACACCCCATATATGTTCAAGCCATTTGGTGTAAAATCGAAACGCGATCATCTTTCATCTCAACATCGACATTGATATTCGTAATAATTTATAGCTTAGCCTTTTTTATCGATACACTTTCTCATCTGTTATCAAAACATCAGAAGTCCAATTAATAATTTATCAAATTCATCTCTTTATTGAAAGAATTGATACCAGAATCGAAGCAATCAGAAATAGTTCATATGCTACTTATTCAGGAAGTAAAAAAAAATCCCATTTTGCATAATTGTAAATTATTATCCTGGTTTTGTTTTGAGAATGTAATTTTTTCCATTTTCCACTTTGTAAACTACTGGCATATAAACTATATCTGATGTTTGCTTCAATTCTGGTTTCGATTCTCTCAATAAAAAACAAGTTTACTTGATTATCAATTGGTCATTTGATGTTAAAATAAATATGAGAATGTGTATCGATGAAAATAGCCAACCAATAATTTTCGAAGTTCAATAATTCAAAGATGATTACGAATATCAATATGGATGTTGAGATATGAGATGTTCGTGTTTCTATTTTACACAAAATGACCAGAAAATATATGGGGTATTCCATCTGGAGAACTCGAGAAAAATCACTTCCGAAAGTTCCGAAGTGAAATATCATGTTTAGCCACCTTGTATAATTTGAGGCCATAAATTCCATAATTGTGACCAACGTGATTCATTCGGTATGCATCTGCAGATGATATTATTTCGACAAAAAAATCAATAGCTCTGAAATTATCGCGATATATTCAACAATATTATAGGAAAGGATTTAGGTAACAGGAATGCTTCAAAAATGTGCTAATATATAGGGCATTCCATTGGAACAAATGGATCCTCATCCTCCAGATTTTTTCAGGGGCTCCCTGTTTATGCGGCAATAATTTCTAGTTATGGGCCTGGTTGTCTCATTCACATTCGTTTTAGAATCAAGTTTCAAGCAATCGAGCTCCGACGCACTAATGCCCCACCCTGTATATCTATGCAAAGATTGATAGATCTTGTCCATTTCAAGTAAGTACATACTGAGTTTTGTGAAAATAATCTGCGAACACGTATTGAAGAAAAAACATGTTGATAAGCAGCAGAATTATTGCCGATAGTTCACGTTGTTTTAAGGCGAGGATAATCTTTCATCAACAAAAACACGAGTGATACCGAGAAAAAATTATCGGAAATCAAATCTGCTGCGTGAGAGATTCGGTAGGAAAATTTCATAAATTGTAGTAGTTTTTAATATGATGAAAAGATGAACCCTACGACCCATTCTGCGTAGATGTCAAATGAGAATTCTACAAATTCTAGTCTATTAAGTTTTTTCATTAAGATAGCTCGTTTTGTGAATTATGCTTTATGGTGAATTCTTATAATATTTGTCCCAATAATCATAGCTGTTTGGGTTTCTAGCATTGTACGTTGACGAGTAACTATAGCAATTCACTTGTATACGGTCATTAGACAATCGACAATCGTAATTCGGCTCATTTTACTCTAGTTTTCCATTAGATTTGAGGGTTACAAAGCTACAGATCGCGTTCATTTCAAGTTCTGTCCTCAGTCATGGGTGCCCGTGTTCAATTATTGTTCAATGGTTTCGATCGTCCGAATCGATAGAGCCGTTACCATCGAGACAACGATGGTAACGATAGAGCCGTGTCTTGTGGGTGCATGTGTGTGATGTAGCAAAATTTGGTTTTTGTGCTGGCTGTGAACCGAGCTGTGAAATACACCGTGCATTTCATTACGGAAATGAAAAAAGTATTCTTCATGCTTCCTTTTCATGGCCTAAAATTGGTTTATTTTGATATGATCGATGATATTCTGGATTTCTGTGAGAGAAGTTTTATTGACAATTATCATCATAACTCCGAAGGAAGAGTAAATAAAAGTATTCAACTTCACATTTCTTAATAAATTCGCCAGTATGCATATAGATGATATGTTTTCGAAAAAATCAATGAGTAATGTTGAAAAAACTTCCAGAGATTCCCAGATATTTCAATTCAGAGACTAATCGTATTTTCGGTTTTTGGAAAATGTTACTTTGGATCATAAAAAGTTAGTGCGGATAGGATGATTATTTTCATTGCAGTGATTCAAATCACGGTTCCATAATGCATACCATCGAACATTGTTGGTTAGATAACCTAATCACCACTGTTTGATGAATATACTAGAGTAGAAAAAATTGGGATAACTGTTGAAAATGGGCTATATTACAATAACATGTTGAAATGTCAGGTTTCATTCAGATTTAGATAACTATAATAAAATGAGACGAATTACCTCAAGATGGTTGTGCCAGTAATGAAAACATGCTGTTTCATGACGATAGCCGAATAACCACTGTAGAGTTGATTAGTTAATGCAAGATTAATTTAGGAATAATTTCTATTCGACACTCTGTGTTATCATAGAAACTAGGATAAATGGTAGTTATTCAGCAGCGATGTTTATAAAAGTTTGCAAATTGAATATATTGCCATAACTACACGCCACCTGAAAATTCACTTTATCAACACATCTGTCCTCTATGTATTGCAGATAAATAATAACGGTTATCAGATTTACAATTATGATGACTCAAGTTTTCTCTCAGTGTATGGAAATAATATGATCCTAGGTGAGGTAGAAACGCAGTATTAAATATATAACATGCAACTTATTCATCTGGGTTTATTGAAATGTTCACATTCCATATTTTTCTAGTATAATATTTGTTGTTCATCTGTGAGGCCAATTATTCAACTGAATTTTCGTCTATATTTAATTTGCCTTGAATAAATATTATACAATAGCACTCTGATGGCAATGAATTATTTGAAATTGTGAATCTTCCTTCAATGAATATTCGGAATATATTATTGATGATAAATCATTCACATCTACAAAATATTACTATATGAATATTTCTCCAGAGTTTTCTTCTGAATGCGATTGGTCAGGAAAAATTTGGAAGATATTTTATCCATTCAATCTCTGGTTCATAGGTGAGTGTTATTTCAATTTCTGAACTTATAATTATTATATCACTTTTATGTTCTATAGCTCTTTCTTGCAATTTTATGAATATTATTTAGTGAATTGGAAATTGCAAGACTACACTGAGAAAAAAAACGAATAACGGTTATTAGAAATTCGATAACCTTCATACAAAACTTCAATTAAATAGGGGACAGCCTAGTTGTCTTATTATTCTTATTCAATTCATTTTGCTACGACAACTCAATAACAGTTATCAAAGAATTTAATTAGGTATGTCTCTAAGGCTTCACCATGAACGAATTATGATCATTCGATAAGGTGTATTGATTCGATCGAAGGGTTGAATTGATGTCATTCAGTACTTTAATTACCAGCATTGCCAAACTCAATATCTATAATTGCAGACTCTCGTTGCATTCTTCTGGTAACCCAATAGGTATCATTCAAGACTTGCGTTAGGATAATTAACTAGTATAGTTGCTGTTATTCTCTCAAACCCATGACTGGCATTAAATTAATTAATTAAAGTAATTAAATTAATTAATTAAAGTAATTAATCAATTCAGTTATGTCAAGCTGATAAGCGAATCATTTTTCATCAAAAAATCATAGGAAATAAATAAACATTATATATTACATTCATTTTTTTGGAGCTTCTTCAGTGGAGATTACTCCAAATCGTTTTCACCTTCACTTTCCTCTTCTGTACATAATTGAGAGAGTATCACTAAGATACGAATTATCTATCAAGATTCACATCAATATTCTGTCTATATTGACTATTGCTTCGAACTTTGACTTGTGTAAAATAATTTAATAAGGACAGGTCATGCTGTACCCAGAGGAAAAAGCAATAATTGATATTAACAGAATATTGCTGAGTCTTGATAGAAAATTGTATCCTAATGATACTCTCTCAATAACAGGAAAGGATGTCTATATAGGCAAAACAAATTGAAGTAGCCAAACTAAAAAGAAGTTCAAAAAAATGAACCCAATAGATGATATTTATTAATTTTCTAAAATTTGTTGATGGAAAATGATTTGATTATCAACTTGACCTAACTGGATTCGTTTAGGATTGGTTCAGGACTACTTTTACTGTTCTAATGAAAATTCACTGATGCAACCAAAATTAAATACCTACTTCTGTTGATGAAAGGCAATGAAAATATAAAATCAGAAAAAAAGTATTTTTATTCAGCACACAATCATACAAATTTTTATTGGTTCAACCAAAATAAACAATAACTCCATTCAATGAGTGGAAATGGTTTGACAAAATAAATTAATTTCTTGAAGAATACCTACAAGCTAAAATAATAGGAACAAATTGGTATATCTACATTCAAGAGACCTATACCTTAAATCTCAACTATAACTGAGTTTAAAAAAAAATAAATAATAATATACCTATCAAATCAAAATATCACTCCTAGGGATAGCTGTCTCGAGTCAACTTGGTACTATTTTGCTGAAAAAATGTATGTGGAACTCAAATATTCTTTGCGGGTTACAAATAAACGTTCTTTTCGATGCATATGATATACAGGGTGTAACAAATTCGTGACTAAGCATGGGGATCTTGGTATACCTTCTCCCCAAGAGATACAAAGTAGGTCAAATTAGGGCAAGGTTGCGCTATTTCATGCTCAACAAAATGATGCTTCGAAGTTCCAATCATTTCTGGGTATGCACAAACAAAATTGTGCAAAATAGTTGTCATTCATTCATCAGTTTATTTAAAGAGATATTCTGAAATAAATGACACGTCATCATTATCACTTTTTCTCCTCCACAAAAAGGAATTGTCAAATTGAAAATCCGACGTTTCTACTTCAAGCAGCCATCACCATCAACTTCATCTTCTTACATAGGGACCTGGATTTTTTATTTTGTCTTTCGATATTTTTTGATCTCCTCGATACGATGATGCAACAACAACAATAATCAACCAACCAATTTTTACCACTGAAATATTGATTTGATTTTTGTAGTAAATCATTGTATCGAGGAGGTCGAGAACTACCGAAAAACGAAATGAAAAATCAAGGTCCGTTTTTAAAAAATAAAGCTGGTGGCTGCTTGAAGTAGAAACGTCGTGACAATGATGAAGTGTCATTCATTCCAAAATATCTCTTCAAATAAACTGATGAGAAATTATTGAAAAGAATTTTGCACAATTTTGTTATTCTGTGGATGTCTCCGGAAATGATTGGAAATTTTCAAACTTTGAAGCAGCATTTCTTTGAGCTTGAAAAAGCGTAACTTTGTCCTGATTTGACCGACTCTGTATCTCTTAAGGGTACCGAGATCCAACTGCTCAGCCACGAATTTGTTACACCCTTTGTAGACAATTTCTCGATTATTTTAGTTTCTGGTAGATCTCTTTCTCAAAATTCCGACTGAACTAGCTCGAGTAGGTGGACTATTTTCGATAACCTCTTCGTGCATTTTCCACTGACATGAAGTGTACAGGAGAAAATGTCTAGATTGTTTATGATAATTGAAAACCAATCACAGGGAATTGAAACGAAGTTGTTAGTTGCAACAGAATATTTGAGGCACATTTGAAAGATGGTTGGAGACAGTGTACTCATATGAAATATAACATACTAAAAATAGATGTTTATGAGAAAAGTGTGATGTATCTTTTACCATTACGTAAAACAGTTCCAAATGTGTCAAAATAATAAATATCATTCAGTAATATATACTGTATATCATGAGATTCTTTCACTTCATAAGCAAATAAATGTTCACAAAAGCTTATATTTTCTACTATGTTATAAATGAAACAAATATGTTTTTCTTCACTTATTATTATTGCTGTGATAATTCCAAATTTTGGATATTCATCACAAGAAATCACAATTGCATCTTTTATTTTGAAAACTGTATTATTATAAGTTATTCTGTGCACATTGATGACATTTGTTTTGAACTCTTCTAAATGAATACTTGAAAGAATGTCATTGATGTTACTATTCGAGGGTTTGTTCTGTGAAAATGAGATTGAATTCACTAAACCTTCCTTATCAACCAATCGTGAAGCCAACTGTAATTGATGTTTCACAGCAAGTGTATGGGTAATATTAACTCTAGAAGAAACAACATTGGCAGCAAGTTTAAGCTGTCGATGCTTAGATTCATATCTCAAAGTTATAGTTTTCACTAATGGACCAACTTTGTTGATAATTGATGGATAATGTGTCATGAAATGAAACTTGGGTTTCAGAGGCAGAGAAAATAATTTCATATAAAGTGCATGATGATGACTTATCAATTCAGTTAATTCTTTACACATAGCTGATGTAACAAAGTTGCTCAGTACAATTCTCAATATCTTTCTTAAATAAATATAGAGCTGCCAATGTTTGTTACCTACTGGTATCAAATTCCCAAGAATCAAACCTGCATGTAGAATGAAATTCTTCATTTCAGATGCAGACATTCTCAAAGACTTTTTCTTCAGATTTTCATGGGAAATAAGTGGTGGTTTGTTATGATTTGCAGTGAAGCTATAGAATTGTATCTTATTGTTCAAAATTTCTAGAGAGAAATATTTATCTACGATGACGAATTGATACAATAGCTCACACATAATAAATACCCCTACTCCCTCAAAAATGTCGTGCGCTATATCAACGCAATAGTTTTCCGTGACATGGAAGAGATCAATATTATTTAAAATCGGGGAGAAATGTATTCCAGTTGAATAAGAGTTATTGGCTGCTAAATCGCTTGAATAATTGTCAATATTTCGTAATTTTGTTGAATTCTCAATGGTTGATATTTCTGTTTCTGCTCGGATGAGCTTACAGAAACGACAAAATGAATTTGACCGGAATCCTGCTTTGAAACCAAGTATTGTATTGAGGCCAAGATTATCACCCAAAAATAAGGCAGTACAAAAATATAATCTCACATTTTTATCAGGTAATTTCACAGTGATCCCCTCTCTTTTCAAATGGTTTAATTCAAATACCATTTTTCTGAATAACACATTTTCACCAAATTCTTTCAAGTCTGATGCATGGAATAAAGATATCAAAAATATGTTCTCTAAACGTGATTCAAATGCTGGTGGCAAACATGCAATTGAACAGTAAATGGCACCTAATTTATGGATACCTGAATGAGAGCCAAGGGGATTTCCACTTTCAAACTCATCAAAATATATGAATAATGGTATGACAATATCATTTTCCTCATAAACATCAATTTTCGCTTTCCAAAATTTGGTCTGAACTATATTTTGTATTGATGGTTCACTTCTCAACTTTTCCATGTACTGAATAGTTTCAAGTAAGATATTTGGTAAAGACATGAATTTTTCTAGAACATTCCTTAATAGAATATGTTGAGCAGTATAATTTTTTGGAGATGGTTCTGATTTTTTATTATTTACCAAACGCTGACCAATGACATATTCAATAGGTTTTATGTAATATCCTGATTCTTCCAAATATTTCAATCGTAAATGTTCACTTCTGAAGTCATCAAACATGTTTTCTAATTCTTCCATAAATTTCCTGAATTGGTCTTTATCAATATCAGATATAGAATATTTTTGTGAAACTTGTTCTAGAAAAAACTTCTTGAAAATATTCAGTGGTTTTCCAAGTAATTCACTCACATAATTCATTACTTTTTGAATATCTTTCCTGCAGAAAGTTTTTTCATTGTAAAATTTGCAAATGAATGAAATATTATTCTGTATGATTGCATTTTTGAATTCACTGTGTAAATCAACAATGTCTCCATCTGCAATGATTTTGGAAACAGTTATAGAATGCTGAGTTTCTTCAAAAACTCCATTTCCATCATCTGAATGACTGACTTCCTTACTGAGAGTAGAAACTTCTGAATTACATGTTTGGTGACAACTTACATGATTTTTCAAATGTTTACGAAAGGAATTTAATGATGGAAAATTTCTTTTACAGTTTCCATCAGCACAAAAGTAAAGGCTATTAGCATCACATCTATGGATAATTTTCAAATGAACAATTAGAGCATTAATTGTGAAAAAACGATTATAACAAATGCTACAGTTCGGCATTTTATGAGTGATAACTAAAACATTACTTCACAAGGTACAAAAATAAATGATGACTAGTCAACTAATTCAAGCCAGGAACTGCAATCAAAGAGTGAAACTATTAGGTCCTACTTCATACTCAAATGATATGCTAAATCAGATATGAGAGTTACCGTTGATGGGCATTTTTTTGTTGACTTCATGGAAAAAACTAAGTCTTGGATGAATAACCACACATGCTCACATTCAGTAGGGTACTCCACATCCAGGGCATGGAAAAATTTGAACAATAACTCCAGTGTTCTTATTGCAGACTCAAGTTTGTATTTGACATCGTCAATAACGATATAAAAGTTCTTGGTTTCATTAACTATAACAGCAAATGGTTGCATGGTCATTCCATAACTCCTCAATTTGGTCCTTCTAGTAGTTATCCTCTCTTCTAGCTCATCATAGTTCTAGAAATAATATATTCAAGAATGACATGGAGACATGGAGAAATATTTAAAAAATTAATATCCACTTGATATTTGTATATAACATTATTCGTGATATACAGGGTGTCCCATAATTAGCGTGCAATATTTCACCAGCATATTTATTTAACGATCAAAAATAAAGAGAGGTTCCTATGAACTTGGGTTGAAAAATGCTTCATAAATTACCTTGCATGTTATCGTTCAAATCGATTTTGCTCTAGAACTGCGCTTCCTATAAGAGTTAAACAAAGGAACCTTTTCATGCAAAAGGGTTCAGAGTTTCATGATTTCATGAGTTGTATGATGAAGTTGCAGAAAAACTGCAATTAAAAAAGTTGGGGTGATTTTACGCCACAGCCCCCACAGTTTGACCAATTTCTGGATGAAATTTTGAAATTATGATCATCGCATATTATTAAACATAAAAAGATTAGCCGACGTGCAGAATTTCATAATTCTGCTATCAACAGTTTATGAGATTCAAAATAAAAACCATCTTCAGGGTACTATCGGAGTACTAGACCCAAGTTTATGGGAACTTTTTTTCTTATTGTTGATCGTAAAATCTGTTGGTGAAGTATTGCACGCTAATTATGAGACACGCTGTATACGATTTAGAAGTTATGGGGAAGGCAGGCATTGGACAATTTGTATTTGATTATAAATTCCACCTTGATCAAACTCAACAATACACAGTTGCTAATGACTAACCGTGACATGTAGAAAAAAACTCTCCTGAACTTCAGATCTAGTGGGTTTCCATGTAATGCCCTTTCTGTTTTTTTTTTAGGGTTATTGGAGAAAACAGAAAAGGAAGAATGAGCAGAGCTTCTGTTGATTCATCTGAAAATGAGACCAGAAACAATAATTCAATTCAATTTTTCTTAAAAAATACAGGTGTATTCATTCAGAATGATTTTAATTTTATCAATCCAGGATAACTTGGTATGGATGAATGTTTTGGGTAATGATCAGGATGATTTTCTGCTCGAACAATGGAAGAAATCAAAATTGAAAAATAAAATGCAAAAAACCTCACCTTTCCTTGAATCAATTTCGATTTTTCGTTCCGCAGCCTCTTTCAATATAGCTTGTGCCACTTTAGGAAATTCTGAATATATTCGATCGATTTTATCAGGGAACCTATTATTGAAATCTGTTTCGATCTGAAAATAAATATGAATATACAAATAGGTACCTATTTTGAAAGGGTAGTCTTTGCTGTCAAGTTAGGTTCAAGCTTGTGAATATTGGAAGTTGCAACAAAAAGAATAGTTGACTCTTCAATGTTCTTCCAAAATGTTTTAGATATTTTCAATATTTTTAAGAAACAACCGAGGAAACAACCTCAATCAATATTTTTTCAATGTACCTCATTTGAAGATTATATTCTTCGAAATACAATATTATATTCTTCATTGTAGTTTCTCTGATGATGGAAATGAAGCTATACAAAAGCTCAGACAAACTTTAAAGTCTACTTTTCTCTTTGCTGCAATCCCCAATATTCACTAGCCTATACATACACATAGGAGTTGATAGCGGAGACAGTATCTTGATGAAATAAAATAAGGAAAACACTTAAAAACATTTAAGGAGCAGTAAGACCTAGATGCATGTTTTCAGTATTATTGCACATCATTAATTATCTACCAACAGCATTGCATACTAATTAATATAACACTGTTGAAACCTGAGAGAAACTTAATTTGCTCTAACTAGGCTCTTACATTCCCGTTTACTGGTATCAACATTAATTTAGGTTATTTTTTTCATACTCACCAGTTCAATGCCAGAATTCATTCTGAGACATGGGAAGTCATTGAATATTTTGGAAAGTTCAGTGTTCTGGTACAATTTACGCCTAAGCTTATGTGTGTCTTCCCAAGCTGACAGAATTTTAGTGTATGGCTCTACACCTACTTTCAGAAAATCTAATTGTTTCATGTTCTCGATGTTCTCCTCAGGACTCATTCTCTTTTCAATTTCTAGAGGTTTCTTTTGAGCATTTGCCAACCGTAAAGCAGCCCTCACATTCACATACCTGCACCATAATTTGCCTTTTGGCCCAGAACCTTTCTTTGATTTTTCTCCCCCAGCTGAGTATGGGATATAATAAGTTTCTGTTAGTTCATTTTCGAAAACCCTTTCAATTTCTTCACAAACTTGCACGAACTGGTGTGCTCTTAGACTGAAAGAGACAATTTGTGAAAAAAATAGGTGTACATTATAAGATACCAATTTGACTGTAAACGATGATCGAGTGTCTAGAATGGTGAAAAGGAAAGTCACTTACTCAGGACCAAACAGAGAAATCAGTTCATTAACTATGACCTTGCATAGTTTTTGGCGGTGATCATTATTTAGTTTCTTCTTATTCAGTATAACAATTTTACCATCAGTATATTTTTCTAACAAAGTGACCAGTCCCTACAGAAAATTTTCAAGTGAGATAGAGTGATATAATATTCCAAGGATCAAATTATTCAACCAATAATAAGATGAGGTTCCTCAAAAATTAAATATAGGACAAAAAGGTAATAACTCACTTGAGGAAATATACTCTGAGATGTTCTTTGTACTTTTTTGTGCCTACTGAGGTTCATATCTTCACCCTTTCTTTTGTCATTTGGAATCTCTTCTATTTCCATTCCACTTTTGTCGAATAATAAACTTCTCATCTCCTCATCTGGTTCAAATATATATGAACTTGAAGGGGTAGAGATGATGGAAGATGCTATGCTCGGATCTATGGATGCATCTTGGGATGTATCTACCTAAAACAGTATTGAAAGATACAAACACTGAAATATGTACTCACCAATGACTATATTTGTGCCCTATTGAGTAGATTGAAATATACAGGGTGTATGAAAATCATCATATTTCAAGCTTTCTTGAACAAAAATTTTAAAAGGGAGAAACTTGCTGAAATTAGGATTTCAGAAAACATACATACTTACCATTATTAGCCCAGAATTATTAGACACATTTTCTCTCGTATTTTCTTTATTCGATGATTTCAGATCATTGAACAGTTTTGTGAAAAGTAGCCTGGGTCCTGCTTTTTCAAAAATATTTCTTATGGTTTCATCGTCCAGCAATGCGAAACTGGAATCATCAATCCCTTCTTCTGAAAAATAAAATCAACCTTTCCAACTAATTGAACAGATGAGTTAATTATCGAAGCATCTCTCTCTTTCTCTCTCTCTCTTTCTCTCTCTCTTTCTCTCTTTCTCTCTTTCTCTCTTTCTCTCTTTCTCTCTTTCTCTCTTTCTCTCTTTCTCTCTTTCTCTCTTTCTCTCTTTCTCTCTTTCTCTCTTTCTCTCTTTCTCTCTTTCTCTCTTTCTCTCTTTCTCTCTCCCTCTCTCTCCCTCTCTCTTTCTCTCTCTCTCAGACTCTCTTTATTTCTCTCTCACACTCTCTTTATTTCTCTCTCACACTCTCTTTATCTCTCTCTCACACTCTCTTCATTTCTCTCACACTCTTTATCTCTCTCACACTTTATCTCTCTCTCACACTCTCTTTATCTCTCTCTCTCTCTCTTTCTCTCTCTTTCTCTCTCTCTTTCTCACTCTCTTCATCTCTTTCTCACTCTCTTTATCTCTCTCTATCTCTCTCTATTTCTCTCTCTTTCTCTCTCTCTCTATCTCTCACTCTTTCTCTCTCTCTCTCTCTCTCTCTCTCTCACATTCTCTTTATCTCTTTCACACTATCTTTATCTTTCACACTATCTTTATCTCTCACACTATCTTTATCTCTCTCACACTCTCTTTATCTCTCTTACACTCTCTTTATCTCTCTCACACTCTCTTTATCTCTCTCACACTATCTTTATTTCTCTCACACTCTCTTTATCTCTCTCACACTCTCTTTATCTCTCTCACACTCTCTTTATCTCTCTCACACTCTCTTTATCTATCTCTTTCTTTCTTTATCTCTCTCACACTCTCTTTATCTCTCTCACACTCTCTTTATCTCTCTCACACTCTCTTCATCTCTCTCTTTCTCACTATCTTTATCTCTATCTCTCTATCTCTCTTTCTCTCTATTTCTCTCTCTCTCTCTCACACTCTCTTTATTCCTTTCTCTCTCACACTCTCTTTATTTCTCTCTCTCACACTCTCTTTATCTCTCTCACACTCTCTTCATTTCTCTCTCACACTCTTTATCTATCTCTCTATCTCACACTCACTTTATCTCTCTCACACTCTCTTTATCTCTCTCTCTTTTTCTCACTCTCTTTATCTCTATCTATCTCTCTCTCTATCTCCCTCTCTCTACCTACCTCTCTATATGACTCTCTATCTCTCTCTCACATGAGAAGATAGAGAATCTGAATTCGGACACCCTATAAATTAATATTAGTACAACAAAGAAGTTCAAACCATTGAGAGTTAAAACCAAAGTGGAACATATTTGCTTTTTTTATGGTATAGGTAGGTATAATCCAGAATGCCAAATGGGCATCTCTCTCTTCTCACTCTACATCAACAGGGTGTCTCTCATTGAGAAAATAAAAAATCTTATTTTGGCCACCCTGTAAATATACAGGGTGGTTCAAGTTGCAGAAACTGAAATGGGGTGATAGATCGCATTTCAATCAAAAAAGTTCATAAGAACATGGATCCGATCTCGATCAGTAGCGGAGCTACAGGGGGTTAAAGTCTCGGTTGAAGTATAATGATTTTTTTCTATTAATTGAAATATCTCGCTCACTTTTGAAGATATCAATCTGAAATTTGGTGTGGTTGATACTTCCCAGGAGATCATCATTTGTAGCATTTTAAAGATTTTAACCCCCTGTAGCTCCGCTACTGATCGAGACCGGACCCATGTTTATATATGAACTTTTTTGATTAAAATGATGAGATCTATCACGCATTTCAGTTTCTGCCTTAAAACTTGAACCACCCTGTATAAGCAGTAGGTATATACATCAAAGAAGTTCAACCTATTGAGAGTTTTAGAACCAAAGCAGAATATAGGTAGGTAGGTATTTGCATTTGCTTATTTTATGGTTTAGGTTAATCGAGAAAGCCAGATGGGTTAGATTGAAATAACATTCGATTTTCACCTGAAGGTCACAAGTGTGGATTTATGTATAGCATCATTTAACAATTATCATGGTAACAATAATTATCAATTAACAATTATTATCATTTATGAGTTGATGAACTCCATATTTTCAGATTAATAAGTAGAATGTTGGCCCAATAGATGTTGGCCAACTTTTAGGTAGGTACTAACTTTTTACCGTTAAATGAACGAAATTTTCCTATTGTGCGCAACCTAGTATGGACTAAGGTACCTTGATGTCAATTTGACGTATTTGAAGATGACAAATACGTCAAATTTTCATCAAGGTACCCTAGTATGGACATGATCGCGGATTGGTCCGCCGGAAACGTAATTAACCTAAAAATAAAAATTATTCATTAATTAGTTCATCATAATTTTATATTTGTTTCATTGCGTGTTGTTGATGTGAGTATGTGTATCGTGAAATATAGTGCAAAAAAATAATGAAACAAAAATAGAAATTGATGTTATGATAGGTACCTACCATCTTTGGAACTGACTTGTGCGCATGCGTACTGCGTACTATTTATTTTTGATTTTTGATTTGTTGTGCACATGTAGAGCTGTTGAGCATAAATGGTAATAACCTTCTGGGTCTGGCTAGTTAAATGTTAAATGATGCCGAATAAATCCACACGTTCACTGTCATCTCATCGAATTTTGTATGTGCATTGAATATTACACTGATGAAGAATATACCCGTCATGCTGGGTTTATAGATTCAACTAAACTAAGAATTCAACTAACAATTAAGAACTAAGAATGTTGAATACACAAGAACATAATATAGGGTTTATACATTTACATCTGTCATTTAAATTAAGAATTAATAATTACAAAGTTGGCCAACTTTCAACTTAACAACTAAGAATTAAGAATTTTGTTGAGAAAACATGCAGAACATGACAAACTGGTGACAAATGCTGACAAAAAGAGTTGTTGATGGATTTTAGAATGTCAGTAAATATCATTGTTGAATTTTGTGGGCTTGTTATACAAAGTGAAATTTGGTGAAATTTCAGGTTCAAAACTTTTTCATGTTCTTGTGATTGCTCCATTAAAATACCCCATAAAATAGCCTATAATTGAAATTTTTCACAAATATTTGACAAGGATTATGAATATCAAGGCATTTTGAAAATGATGGAAGCTTAGTTTTTAGTAGATGTGTATAAACACCTTCCTAATTCTCTAATTGTAATTCTTAATTATTAATTCATAATTGTTAGTTTAGTTGAATCTATAAACCCAGCATTATGATTGTATAAAATGAAGATAGATAGGTAGGTACTCAACCTTAATTATTACCTTCGAATGCGGAAACGTACTCGCAGAATCCCCACTCTATCAGTTGGAGTTGATAGTCCATGTTGCAGTAGGTACTTGCAGCTCGCAGTTTGCAGTTTCGCAGTTTCAGTTTCACTATCACTTGGACACAAACTCTATTTAATCCGTTAATTGTTCAATTGTTGTAGTTGTAGGCTTTGTGCGATTGTAGATCTTCTCTCACTATGAAACACAGCGTCACAGCCACAGCGACAGCGAAAACCATGCGACATGCGAAAACCGAAAGATTCACTTCACACAACTGACCCCTACACTGACCTACTTAGCACTTAGCAGCAGGAACGCCAACGGCCAAACGCAAATAAATGCCGGGATTGCAGGATGCCGCGAAAGCGCAAAAAACTGCGGGGCTGGTACCATTGTTGCCAACCTTCCAAATACGTTTTGTCCTACACGAACCTATTAGAATTCTCTACATTGGAAAAAAATCCTTACAACTCATTTATATTCAAAGGAACGTTATTTTTATATAACTGATCTAGCAAATTGAATTCTTCAGTGATATAAGGGTGATATTTAATATTAATTTCAAGGTTCAAAAATCCATTTAGATAGAAAACACGTATTTTTTATGAAACGGGGGTTTACAAAAATAAAATAATCGATTCGACAGTAACTCAATATTGCAAATTATAGGTATCTCAGGAAGGTATTTTTGACACATTTTGTTTTCATAACTACATGTATGCGTATACAAGAACAGTCGAAAATTCCCCACAATTCTGGACTATTCAAAAATCTGTCCTCACATCCCAACGCACCAATAATTTGAACAAAATGTTTTCTACATGTAGGGAATATGCCTACGAGTAGTACGAGTTGACATCACTGTCGTACCCGAACATGGCGCGAACGCGTTCGTCTACGATCGCCATACATTTTCACAATAAAAGTAATTAGATAACGAATTACGGTTATTAGATTAAAAATCACTCGACTGCTTTCATTATCATAGGGTATGATCTTATTATACTTACAAGACGTCTAATGAGGCTTATTGGTGTACTCTCTATAAAACGTCTCTAATTGTGATAACTAGTCGTTTGCGCTATTTTTATACATGACATGGGTGAACATCATTAGATATTGAATGACTATAATCAACAAAGACATAATAAGACGATTTAATTAGAGCTTTTTCCTCAGTGTAGTGTGTAGTTGAGTTATACGCACGGCAGCTCTGTTGTTTGGGAGCAGGCTGTGGATTCAAGAAGTAAAGTATTCTTCGGGACCTTGTTTGCCAGGCGCCACCCAGTTTTCAATTGTAGGAAAACTAAGAAAATTCAATACTGAAGATATAATTTAAAATTAATGAAACACCAAATAACTGTACCAGATATATTCTTGAGCTTGTTCAAAGAAGGTTTATGTGACAGGCAATTCACAATGATACTTTCAGTAACACCTTATTGAGCAGAAAAATGATAAATCACCTGATCAGAGTCATATAAAATGAATGCCTGAGCAGAACAAGAAAAATGTAGAAATCTCAAAGTACTCTCCTTCTATATAGGCCTATATTTCCGATTCACAGAAGTGACTGAATTCTCCTTATATTTTTAGTTAAGTGGTATTTCAAATATAAATTCAGAATATGTAGTTAGGAGTAGTAAGATTTGAATGGTAACTTAGTGCTGTGCACTACTGCATCATCAGGAACAAAAGGGTAATCAAAATGGATCTGACCCTATGTGCCTGCAGAGCATGTAGTGCTGATCTGTCCTTTACTGTCAGTGAACTCCAACTTCCAAGTCCTGGTTGGTACAGTTAAAAAAAAGAAGGTCTCCTGGAGCTGCCTAGTCATCCTGAAATCATCTTGGAATTCCAACGAGGTGGAATCAAGAGAAAAACCTCAAAATAAGCAGTGGCTTCACAGCACACGTGATGTTGAGGCTTCCTAGTCACCCCCTGGTTTTGTGGATGCTCAGAATGGGATCAAGAGGTGCTCCCAAAGTTGATTCAATTTTCCACTCTACAATGGCGTTCCACAGGACATCCGCCATGGACAGGCCACTAAATCTGGGATAATACTAACAATTTGTATATCTCGAATAGGTTTGTAGACCCCAAAAATGCTCACCTTCCGTCTGGAACGGCCGAAAATATGGGTTTTAATCCCCACAAAGGTTGGCAGGAAAATGGAAAACAAGCTGCCCATCTTGCCTACTCTCGGTAGAGAAGAAGGAAATCAAGGATTTTCAAGACCTTCCTGTGCACTCAGAAAACGAAACCGTTTATAAAAAACTGCTTCAAATTAGAAATGATTCACTGCGCAAGTACAGTTGGAATCTTATCCAGCAAATAAATGTTACCAACAGAAATTATTGAATTACCTAGATTATTTAAGGAAATTGTCCTATTAGGCCACTGGGCCTTTGCCAGTCTTTCAAGGATTGTGAAGTTAGGTTCGACACGGAACCACAGTACCATCGGTCTAATCACATTGTTGCCAGTGAGCCGAAAATACAAGAAGAAGGAAATAAATCCACAGTGCTATGGCCGAAGCGAAATAACCTAATGCTTCACATAACCAATTGACTGTCAGGCTGGAACTGAAATATGGATGTCAACAATTAGGCAATCCAACGACCTGTCAAATAATTTCAAAATGGCGTCTGGTTGGCAAATAAACCAAAGACAAGTTTGTTTACTTGAGAACTTTGTGGGTTCTGGAAGCCTCTTACAGTATTATTTTATCGAGTTTTGGCTAGATTTATTGTGAACAATGAAAACTCAGTATGATTTCAAAGAAAAAATTGCCAGTAACGTGAATTGTGGTGGATTGTGGAAGCAGTGCAGATCGGGACCATTTGCTGTTTTGTCACATTCCTACTGTAATACTGTGAAAAACTCTGAGCATTACCCACAGATGAAGGATCTATCAAGAAAAATAAGGGAAATGTGGATAGCAGCCATGAAGAGAAAGAATCAGCAACAGAATCAATCATAATAAACCAGAGGATATGTGGCAGACACTATTTTCATAACAGGTACCTAAGAAAAAGGATTTCAATATTATTCATATGTACCTACCTACTCTAGAAATGATGTTTCATCCTATGGAAAACTTATCTTCTTTCATTTTGATAAAATAAACCAATACACATTACTTTTGATGGTCCTACAGTTTGGAAACATCATGTTTCTAATACTTACATAAATAAATCATCTACCTTGTAGGAGAACGTAGTGCCTGAAAGATGAGAATATCCAGCTTGGGTCCCATTGCAATATAATATGGGTCATCAATCTCTTGTCCATTCGAAATGCAAGACTGATGTGGATCAAAAATTGAGAGCAGACAAAAGGTTCAAATCATGAATCAAGCATCAGAACCGAGAGACCTGGTATGTTCTCAAGAAAACACCTAATTACCTGATACTACTACTACTACATCATTTTTCATTTATTTTAGTGTAATGAAGAAAGTGTCCTGGGAGATAAAGAAATAGAAGAAATTGGTGAAAATCTACAAGATTATAAGTACTTTTACAAATTACAGTTTGTTGTGATTTATTTTTATCAATTATAAATGTAAGACAAATAAAGTATTAAAGTAAGTATATCAAAATAATTGTAATATTCATTAAATGAAAAATACATTGTATTATTCCACTATATTACAAAAGATCTACATGAGTCATGAAAAAATCTTCATAGAACATTATAGTTATTCAGTGATCTGATAGAAACAATAATAAACAATGATTGAATGATATATTTATTATGAATAGGTACATATTTCTTTTATAGAACTTGTTGAATCAGAATTCACAAAACCATGCTGATTCTGGTGTACCTAAAATATCTACACATTTAAAATAGAACCATACAATTTCCCTTCATCACTGTCACAACTAGTCATAGGGGTTCCATCATCAGCATTTGAACACTTACACCAATAGTTCACTTCTGGTGAAATCAATATCCACCCAAAAGTCCAGGTATTATAACTTCAGCATGAAACTTCAAAGCAATTTGTGAATGTTGTTCCCAAAAAACATGTTTCTCGGACATTGAAGATATAGAAGGGATTTTGTATTAAACCAGCCAGAGCATCAGAGCAAGTGTACCTATGTCCATTTCTGCTATTGGTATGATGGGCACAATCATGGTGAGAGTGGTGGCATGGGCCACAAAGCACATACATCAGTACATGAAACTGTTCCTTATTTACTTGCCCAAGCCTCAAGTTACTCATTAGCACAGAATCTGTGAATATTTTACCTATAAAAAAATTGCATAAGATATACATGAATATGAGGTAGGAAATATATTTAAAAATATATGAATAACATAATTTCATCATTCAAAATGTTCCTATCATGAAAGTTATTTAGGTATAAAAGTAAAAAGTTACCTTTCCAACTATGACATGGAAATCATTCATCTTCCTGTCTACTTCCTGGACAAAAGTTGGTGAAAAATTCTTGTGAACAACAAGAGTTTTGAATGCTTTCATTTGCTCATGAGGGTAGAAACTGTGGTACACTATAAATAGTAGGAGAGTATAATTATGAGGTAGTCTAATCAGTCAGCAGTTTCAGATGTGAAGGGCTTCAAATCCTTGATCAACATCAGCTTCATCAGATATCTACAAACAAATTATGGTTGTATGATAGTTTCAGGAATGAAAATTTACTGGTTAGTTGAGAGAAATAGCCGAAAAAACAATAAATATTCATGTTTACCTCTTACCAACCTCTGGGTTTTCCTGCAATAACTTCTGGAAATATGAACTCAGCATATTGAAGCACTGTTCAATTCAGCTCCGAGACTCCCTCAAACACCTGACACATAAAACTACCAGAATAATAAGGTGATTCGGGCAAAATACAATTCAATTACAAGTGATGTATAATCTTTGTTTGCCAACCAGACGCCATCTTGTCAGCTAAAATGTCACGTGGTTTGGATTGCCTAATTACAACTACCTCAAACATAAATTTCTGTGGATCCATAATCAAATTGAAAACAGCAAGGATATATCAATCTCCAACAGGTCTGTAAAATTGTGTACTTGAACTATTTTCCACTCAATCAGTCAACAGCAACTGAAAATGTAAATCGTTTATCATTACAGCTATGATGAAGGACTACAACACTACTGCTATGGATACCCAGAAGATACAATCCTGAAACTGATATCAAGTTAAACCGCGAAGACAAAAGAATCTTCAAGTTCAGCTTACAAGAGGTTCAACAACCACAGGATATTCAATCCACATGCCATAGCAAAATGTGAAGTGTTGCAGTCACGTTATCTATTGAGTATCTTACATCATCA